TATTATTTGTTAGTTATGTCATAAAATTTATAATATATGTGTATATACACAAATTATTTTTACAATTACCTTTATTTAGATGTCGAAGTGACTTAATCTTAAGTGAAATAGAAGGATGATTCTTGCTTTCCTTAAAGATGGTATTTAAATGTGCTTTCAGAAATGATATCCTGCGTGCTTGCATGATGGTGGCTATCATGTAAAGAAATGTTAACAGCATACTTTTTTCATAAAAATAAGCCGATAATTGTTTAAAATACTTGCTAGTTTACTTTCGAATGGAAATTCCTGTCACCGATTTTAAATCTGAAAAATAAGATGCTTTCTATAGAAAAATATATAAAGTATAAATACACTTGGGAAAAATTTCATTTCAAATTGTCCTGTAATAAAAATATATATTTCTTGAAATAAAATGTCTAAGAAAAATCATATAAAGAGAAAATAAATAGTCTCCAACCTAAAATATTAAAATCAATCTGCAATTGTGCTTAAAATCACACATGTGAATGCACAAATATATTTATGAATATACTTATATATAACAAATATTGAATACACAAAATTTAATGTTTCTAAAGTGATGACATTGCAGTAAAGTGTTGTAAAGAACATATAATTATAATCACAAACTTTTATAACAGTCTTTAGAAACATGTTCCCTTACACTCAAAAATTTCATAAAAATTAGCACGTAACGTAAAGATGATAATTCTGATCAATTTCTGTTTTTTAACCATACATACAAGCGACATGAAAAGTACAAATACTAAAACACGTTATTAAAACGAATTGTAATTGCAAATTTAAATGAAAACGGTGGAATACGCACCATAATCGTGAACCATCGCTTTTCGCTTACAGTGGGATAAAGTAGAGCGCAGAATCAGTAACCCCAGGTAGCCCATTCTCGAAAATATCGATAGTTGCTGTGGCAAATGGTTTCCTAAAGACAGCTAGGAATGTGCTAGATTAGATATGACTGGACAAAACGCTCTAGATATTCGGCAGAACAGATGAAACTAATTTATCAGATGCAGCAATTCTATTATGCTACTGAATTGCATAATTGTTATCTCTATCGACAGCAACTAACAGATGCTGTTCAGCAAAAATATGTGTCACGTGATTAGTTGCAAAATAAAAAAAATTTTGAGACTTGAAATGTTATCTATTCAACAACTGCACATACACAAGTCTATTCATAACAATACATATAATACATATAATACATATATATTCTAATTTTATTTATCTATTAATTTATTTATGTATTTGATAGCATGTGTTGACTGTTAGACTTATTCGTTGTACTTTTGCACTTTGCAACACTATTATACTATACCTGAATGAGATGGATATATATTCTCTATCATTCTGCAACCTTGAAGGAAGAAAAAGAAATAATCTCGAGTGCAGGAAGTGCAAGTGAAGTAAGTGTACGACTCATGCGAGTGTAGTGTCAAGTTATATGGTACTGTTTATGGATAGTTTTTTTTTAATTGTCTTGCAGGCATGGTACGATGGCCTATAAAAATCTTTGCTTGAATATCATTAAAAAAAGTCGAATACTAGATAGATATTTAAGAACTGTTATAACTATACGTGGTTATTCGAAAACAGCAAACACATCTTCAGAGGATAATGAAAGAACAACACACTTTGGTTTCCAAACGATTAAAGAGAATCAGAAAGCACGGGAAGGTGAAAATTTTATTATTTTTGTCGAATGTTTGTCTCTTTTTTATTATATGGAATACTAATAGTTGCCGCAATGAGTTAGACAATATTAATAGCAACAGTTATAACTTCTTGAGAATTACTATATATAATTTTATAATTATTGTAGCTTCTTGAATGATTGGATGTGCAGTCAAAGTTGATTCAAAAATATTTCTTGCAGTATACACCATATTTGAAAATGTTGCCAATTCTTATGACATAATGAATGATGTAATGAGTATGGGTATCCATCGCATCTGGAAAGATATTTTGGTACAGGAATTAGGACCTACTCATGGTACCCATCTTTTGGATTCTGCTGGTGGCACAGGCGACATTACATTTCGGTATATTAATTTTCTGAGGAATACGCCAAATCCACATAATGTACGTAGTCATGTAACTGTATGTGACATAAATCAACATATGTTAGACGTTGGGCAAAACCGAGCAAGTGAGCTAAGTTTATCAGGGGACAGTAATTATGATATTACGTGGAAGCAAGAAGATGCAGAAAAGCTTTCCTTTGCAGATGATTCTTTCTCTGCCTATACCATAGCATTTGGAATAAGGAATGTAACACATATCGATAAGGTACAATATTGATTTACTTAATCAATTAAGATCTGTTTTCTATGGTTGAACTAGTATACACTATTGGAATTAAAATGAGATAGGTATATGTTTAATATTTGTCGAAAGCAAGAATGAGATTTCTAGTATAGTCTAATGCAGGAACAGAAAAGTTTTATTTGTGTAAAAATACTGAAATATATTCAAAGTACATTATACAGAATTTACATTTATTAATCTCTACTCATTACACATAATATCTATTTCGCATTTTAAACTAAAATTTATAAGTATATTTGAATATTAAATTTATATTAAATATAATTAATTGAATTTATTTGTTAATTTTTATGTCACAGGTATTGTCTGAGGCATACAGAGTATTACAGCCAGGAGGAAGATTTTTATGTCTAGAATTTAGTCACATTGATAATAAACCTTTACAATGGTATATGCTAAAATAATAAAAAACTTATAAAAAGATGATATACATATAACTTATAGCAAAATTTCATTTATTATCTGTTTTAGGTTATATGATCAATATTCCTTTCAAATAATACCTGTAATGGGGAAACTGATTGTGGGAAAGTGGAAACCTTATCAGTATCTTATAGAAAGCATAAGAAAGTTTCCAAAACAAGAAGATTTCAAGGTAAAAAATGCATTTTTTTAAATATCCATTTTATTATTTCTTATACATAAACTGCAATAATGATATTAAGGTTTTTTGAAAACTCCTTGATATTATTATTCTTTATTGTAATTTACGCACGCACACACACACACACACACACACACGCGCGCGCGCGCGCGCGCGCGCGCGCAGCTTCCTTTTTATTATACTATATTTTCCCGATTTTTTGTTATATTTGCTTTTCATGTTCTCCATTATATTTTCAGAATATGATTGAATTCGCAGGATTTAGAAATGTGACCTATCAAAATTTAACGTTTGGTATAGTTGCTATTCATTCAGGATTTAAATTATAAGTAAAATATCTTGTTGGAGCATAGAACTGATTATTTTTTTGAGGAACGAGGAAATTTACAATTTTAATATAACATTGCCAAACAACAAATTACAATAATATCAAAGTACAAAAAAAATGTATGTATAAAAATTTACATACCCCTTCCCTTTAATTATTATTTTTTATTAATTAATATTTATTTCTTTAAGAAAAATTATGTATTGTTTCTTGATTATATTAGTTAAATGATCGTTGTAAAAACTAAATCATGTATTGCATAAATATACAATTATTACAATTTTATTGATTTACTACATTTTGATTGCAATTGTAAAAACGTACGATGTGTCTCGTCAGTTTATTATACGATCGTATTTCTATCACAATAACTACTTTCTACAACGCATAAAATTTCTTTGTAGTATTTACGCGGTATCACAGAGATACTGGTTAAAAATTCATTTCTCTATGTTAATACATTTCAGCCTATCGTGAAATTTGCTTGCTTACTACGTAATCGCTTTACACTTACAATCCACCGTATTGCATAAGAGTCGTGCGACTCTTTGGTACCTCGAACATGAGGTGACGCGACTAACTGTGCCTATCGCGATTTATGTTACTACGCATTTCTACGCGGGTTGCTTCCGTAGATCGTTCTTTCGTAATTTCGTGGACCCGAGAATGCGAATAAGTACAAGAGAAAATTCTAAGAAACATTTTAAATGCAATAAAAAATGATTTATTTTAACAATTTTCGAGCTTATTATTCCTCTTTAATTAATATTTATTTATCGTATCATTAGAAAAATTTTATTTTTTTAGAGCTTATTATTTATATTTTCTTGTATCCGATTCAATCCTAAATAAAAATATTATTTAGATCACAAATTTTTCAGGTATAAATTATATTAATTAACTGACTTGATTAGAAATTATATTAGTATTATAAAAATGTATGGAATGACAATTATCTGTTCCACATGCACAAGTGAGCTACAATACATGTATATGTTGAAGTTTTAATTGGATGGAGGACAATGAAAAATGCGGACTTTTTTCGAAGAGATAAAGATAATCTCAAATTTGCACAATGCGTTAAGAACATCACAATTTTCGAATAGTTCGGAAACATAGAATAGAATTAATAGTATGGTTGAGTAAGTTAACTTTTTTTTTAACTAAATTAAATTAAAGTTAACAGTCTTGAAAATTTAACTTAATTAAAATTAATCCATAATAAAATTAATTGAATTTAAAAAAGTTAAGTTAATAAAAAATGTAATTAAAAAGTTAAAAGTTGAATTTTATTTGAATGAACAACCAAAAAAAAGAGAAAAAGTTTTACTATTTTACATAATTTTTCGTATTTTTCCTTTCTTACAGCTTATTTATTTAATCTGGTTATTTTTATTCACAAGTAACGATTATAAAATTACTAAATTATATACTCATTAGCTTCTCGCATTGTATCTAAGGATTGACTTAAAAAAAATCAAATTAAAAATTAATAGTTACCAATAAAATAATTAAATTAAGTTAAAAAATTAAGAGACTAAAATGTAATTAAGTTAAGTTAAAATTAATTAACTTTTTAACGATCTATCCTGATTCATAGTCAAAGCCTTATTTAAGATTACCTTACAATCCTAACCCTGGTAAAAAAATTGATAGAGAATGCTATTGTTCGAAATCTCTTCGTGAATTTATTAATTTGAATTATCTTCTAGAAATCTTATATAAAATCTCATAGAATTCGATAAAATTTGATAAGATTTATCCAATCAATCTAATCTCGCGAAATTGATGATAGAAAACGATATAACTTTTATAAAAAATCAATTGATAGAAATCCTATCGTTCTCTATCAACTTTTTTTTTACCAGGGAAAATATTTTCTTGGAACCAATCAAACGATCGCATTAGCAGCTTAAAACATTATTTAAGACGGTCTTAAAATAATGGACTATGAATACCGATCTATGTGTTTGATTATACAAGAAGTTAGAAAATAGAAGACAGTAAAAGAAAGAAGTTTCAACGCGCCGATAGAAAGAGACGACTCAGTGAGAGAAGATGTATTGTGTTAACAGCAGCAAAGACGATACCAACGGATCGAAGGCCGTCGAGGCAAAGGGGGAAATTCATTCTACGTGGCGTAATATCTACATGCGTCATGCGGTGTGCTTTCTCTAGGAGTGAAAATTCTTAACTTTCTTCGACCATAGAAACATACCTATCGTCGCCGATGATGCTTGGCACCGCGCTCCCACAGCTTTTCACGACTCGTCGGTTTGTCTATTATTGACGCATCTTCTCCTCACTTCCCGGTATGTTACTGGCGCCAACGATTTCGCTTCGATCGACGTTCACAATACGTTATGTCACCCCTACGGGAGATTCCTCTTTTTCCTCTTTTCTAAGACCGACAATTTTCTAACTTCGTCAGCGTGGGAGTTTACAGTTGCATGCGAATTTATAACTTTGTAACGTGAACTTTTCGAGATTCACATTTTTTTCAGCATACATTTGAGTCTCTCTCTCTCTCTTTTTATAAATTATTTATATACTAAATAAGAAGACTTATCAAACGATATAATATCGTTAATACATTATATAATTTTGTCCCCACTCTTAAAAAAAAAATAAATCCTTCATGCCAGAAACTTAATAAACTTAATGCAAACAGAGGTCAAATTCGCCAAGTGATAAATTGGGAGAGATATTTCTTACAGGAAGAAATCGCGCGGTGTCGGTTATACCAAACGAAGAAGCAGAATCGTGATGCAGCTTCTTGCGCACGTATCGATTTTCCTGACCCCGGTGACCACGTACCCCTTCCGCCTTGGATACTTCCTGGAAAGTATATAATGCCCCGCTTCAGTCTATGGTTTACATCCGTCTATTTGCGAGGATCGGTACAACGCTATTATACAACACACTGTTTCTCACGATACTCTACGTATGATGGTCCATGCGATTGATAAACATTGCTCTCAGATTTATGAGTGAGCGATGCATTAAATCTGCAATTCATCGTTTACATTAGAAATTAACATGTACAGTGCCTGTCACGCATAGGCAAAATTGTATACGCGATTATTATTATATTATTGTCTTAAAAAAAAGATTTTTTTACTTGAAATCAAGTACTCTGATATAAAATCTAGTCTTCATTATCAATGATTATGTATATTCTATTGGAGCTATTTTGATTTGAAGATGGAGTTATTTTAATAATTAAGTCTTGAATCAATAGAATTTTATGGACATGAGATTAAATACGGAATAACCAATTTTAATATATTAAATATTAAATTTTAATATATTAAATATATTAATATATATATTTAATAAATGATATTAAAATATATATTTTGGGAAAAAACAAAATAAAATATTTAAATTCTATAGCGTTTAATGGATATTGTTCTCATGCACAATGAGAATTGCATTGAATTTATTTATATATACTTATATATTTTATAATAAGTAAAAAAATTAAGGAGCGAAAGAGTTAATTATTCGCTTGGAATAAATTATGATATGAGTGATAAATATGATGATAAATCGATGTCGATCGATTTCAGCGAGAATTCGGTGTTGTACATCAATTGCTTAATTTATTAAAGGACGAATCGTATTGTATCGGCGTTCTAGATTACATCAGCAAACGTGAGAATTACGCTATGATTACGCCGATTAATCCAGAGTAACAACATGAATTTCCGAGTCGTGATATATCTTCTTTATCTTTTTGTAATTCTAAAAGTTACACACATAAAGAATAAATTGAACCAAAATCATAAAGTTAATCTTACACTTATTATATGGTGGAATCGGACCTTAAAGAACAGGCATACGTCGATAAATATAAAAACTCTACATAATTAATATTACCCAGATGGTTACCCGTTTCTATAGATCAATATATATATTATTAATAATATTATTAATAATATTAAATCTCTCATACTCAAAAGAACGAGCATCGCATTTGATGTGATGCAATAATATATTTAATTTTTACGTAAATCATTCAAATTATAATCATTTTCATAACAGCTCTCTCTTCATATTTTTTTCTCAGTGTAAAAATTTCGCAAGCTATAGAGAGAGAAATATCTATCGTAAAATTATTTGGTATGTAGAGTTTTTTGATGTAATACAGTAATAAATAAGGACACGCGATTATAGACTTCTGAGAGATGCATGGGACGTTACATAATTGGTCTGTGTTGATTTAACCGAAAATTTACAAAGGTGATTCTACTTAATACCCAACGTGAGAAGAGCGCTCGATGGCGTTCAGATTCTGACGACAGTATTGGAAAGGAGAGAAAGTGTTAGATAAGGATAACTTGGCATTCGGACAAGTCTGTCTGCATAGAGCTTCTTCTCGCAGCATTACAATTATAATACGATTATCATCGCGAAAATATAAGACTAACAAATTGACTGAAATGATAAAGAGCATACGAAAGAAAAGATTTTAATGTCGCCTATGAATTATACTCAATATCGCGTCGCCTTTAATCCTAAAGCTTATAACACATTACTTTATATCTTTTTTTTTGTAATTTAAAAATTATGATTTATATAATATCCTAATGATTTAAGTCTATTACAATTTACTTCATATTTTAATTATTTTATGTTTAATTTATATATTTTTTTAGTATATTAATATATTTCATAATTTTTATTA